TGTAAATAACAAATAATAAATAAATAAATGTCCCAAACTGTTAAAAAAATTATCTTCTAATGCTAGGGAGGTAATGACTAGAACGCCTCCTTTGTTCAATGCGCCTAGATATAGTACCAATTTAGGAAACAACTCACCAATATCTCTTTTGCAAACAAATTATAATAGTTACGTAATAGTTACTCTTGTACATGGATATTTTTAATTTGTCATTTAGTTGAGGGGTCAAGCAAAAGTTTTTCGCTGAAACTGAACTCATTTATTTCCACTGACTTTTCTGTTTTTGTTTCTTTGGTTTAGAAATAATTTGACTTACTCTTTTGAATTAAGATAAATGAAATTATTCTTAGTGTGTCTTTGTAAATTGTGACGTTAGTTCGTCTTGTTAGAGTACATAAATAAATAAATGAATTTTAAAAGTATGCGTGAAACCAAACAATTTTGTGTTTCAATTTTTTTTTAAAAATTTAACAGGTTTTATGATAAGTATCACCCCATACTAAAAGGAAAACTAATGAGAAACATTGATTTTCTACGAAAAATTTTTGCAGTTCAGAACAAATCAGAGAAAAACGCACCGAAACAAAGATAGCCACAGAGGAGAATGATGCTAGTCTAGGCCCTACGTAAATCTAAAATATAAATTTAAACAATTTTTCGCGGTATCTGTTTTAATAGAATTAAGCGTTCTAGACATAAGCAACACGGTTCTTGGTTTGTAATTTATTCTATTAGAACGTAATGAGCAAATTAAGAAGGCATTTGAAATACACCCTGTATATTGAATATTAATATCGTCGTTTGGACATGGAATATAATTTACTTTAGTTATAAGTATTTCTCTTTGTTTTAAACTTTAGTTATTAATTTATTTTGTACACCCTTATTAAAACAGAGCGCTTGTAAAACTTATTTTCTAAAAGCAAAGCTGACATACAAAATTCGTTTTATATGTAGACCAAATGGGCAGTGTTAATTTTTCTTAGAATTATCATGGGGATAATTTTTTTTTGAAAGTAGGGAAGTAAACCTTTTAACATTCTAGAATTACTAATTACTGATACAGATGCCGCGGTACACGCCAAATCACACCAAGAAATGTTGCATATTATGATCAAGCATGCAGCTCTTTAGGGGTGCCCTTTATACCTAAAATAACAATTTTTTTCGGAGCATATCTCGCATCCCTTGGGTTTCTGATGATAGGGGTACGTTTTAAATCAATTGAAATGATAGGATAAAATACAAAAACTTTGGCATATTGAGTGTATTTTTAGAGTATACTTGGTATGCTTGATTCAATCAAAGAGATCCAAATTAATCAACCCTTTGCTTCCTATACCCAGCAAAGGATCTTGTTCGTTACTATCCATTCTAGTTAAAATCAAACATTGGCAACGTATTTGAAAAAATAGAATGGTGTCACAAGTACTAAATACGGAACGCGCATCGTTTGGTGTTCCGGCGATAACACTTTCTTCCGCTGCTGCCGCAATTATTATATTTTTCTATGTGTTGTTTATGACATCTATAGAATTTTGCTGTAGACTCTAATAATCCAAAAACGGTTTATTTAAGGATGAACCAAACCAATTTGTAATCTTAGAATGCTGAGTTTCGGGTAGTAATATACTTCAATACACTAATTACTCGTTTCAGGACTTCTTTATAATATGTATTACTCTTCCGTGACCTCTAAGTTCTTTATAATATAGTAAGTTAGTAGTTAGATCTCCTATAAGGTTCAAATCAGAATTTTCAAAAGATGCTGCAGAATTTTATTGTCGAAATTAGGAATATTATTTTTGTTTTGTCAAGTCGTTATCATCATTAGTTGTGAATAAGATATAGATGAGCACGTGATGTTTATTTCGCTATCTTGATTAGTTTTTTTTATGTGGTGTCCCCGACCATCTTGAATTTAAATATTTTTGAACTTTAATATTGGTCCTAGTGACTAGCTGACAGCATTTTTTTAAAGAGATCGGTTAATTTGGAATCTTTAACTAGAAAATCGGTTAATTTGGAATCTTCAACTAGAAAACCTTGTTTTTAAAATTAATTATATATATATATATATATATATATATATATATATATATATATATATATATATATATATATATATATATATATATATATATATATATATATATATATATATATATATATATATATATAAATATATAAATATATATATATATATATATATATATATATATATATATATATATATATATATATATATATATAAATATAATAAATAAATAAATGTGATGACACTGTATTCCGGGATATCATCCGTTCGCTTGTTGAACTTCGACTTGAATCCTGCAGACGTTTCGCCAAAATCTCACTTGGCATCTTCAATGGTTGCGCTTCGAAAACACTTCGAGTGTTCGAAGTGTTTTCGGAGCGCGAGCATTGAAGCATTGAAGATCCCAAGTGAGATTTTGGCGAAACGTCTGCAGGATTCCAGTAGGATGCAGGATTCCAGTCGGATGCAGGATTCCAGTCGGAGTTCAACAAGCGAACGGATGATATCTAGGAATATCAGTTTTTTCGCTTATGTATATATATATATATATATATATATATATATATATATATATATATATTCTCACGTATTGATTCACGGATGGAAAAATGTGATGACACTATATTCCGGGATATCATCCGTTCGCTCGTTGAACTCCGACTGGAATCCTGCATCCGACTGGAATCCTGCAAATCTTGCATCCGACTGGAATCCTGCAGACGTTTCGCCAAAATCTCACTTGGCATCTTCAATGCTCGCGCTCCGAAAACACTTCGAACACTGAGTGTTCGAAGTGTTTTCGGAGCGCGAGCATTGAAGATGCCAAGTGAGATTTTGGCGAAACGTCTGCAGGATTCCAGTCGGATGCAAGATTTGCAGGATTCCAGTCGGATGCAGGATTCCAGTCGGAGTTCAACGAGCGAACGGATGATATCCCGGAATATAGTGTCATCATATATATATATATATATATATATATATATATATATATATATATATATATATATATATATATATATATATATATATATATATATATATATATATATATATATATATATAAGCGAAAAAACTGATTATACTAGCACTTTTACTATAAAACTTAATAATAGCAAATGAACAAAATGCCTATAATATAACCTCAGAACAAACAAAAAACTTGTAAAGTGTAACAGGTTGCTTATGTGTGAGGACCTAAACCAACTAAATTCATCTACTCCCTTTAATTATTTCATGACTGAATTTACCATTCAATTTTTTTCGCCTCTTGCGTCTCTAACAATTAGCTTTGGTTTGAATTAAAGAGAAGCAACAAAAAAACTAATTAATTAATAATCATGTATCTTTTTTATTTTGATGTTTTTTTGTGTAAGCGGCGGAGCACCCATATCCCATAATGTATTTCGGTGGCCTTTTTTGTAAAAAACGCCTTTTCTACATGTAGAAGTGCTTGATATAATTCGCGTTTATTTTCATAACACTGAAAACGCAACCAATTGGGTTAGAATCTGCGGAATGGAGTATCCGGAATCAAAACGCAAATATATGACCTGTGTTATTGCTTGAGTTTAGTGTCTGAATGAATGAATGAATATAATTTTGACGCGTTAACAGTAAATTTAAATACGTTTTTCTTAAAATAGGTATTCTAAAAATATTCCCAAAGATGGCGATATCATTTGGCTAAATTTTGTTGCAATAAAAGTGATATTGTATTTATCTTTTTTTGTTGAGAAAATAAAGTTTATTTCTAAGGGGTAAGGTGTCGTGTGCTTTTGAAAAAAACTTTATTTGAGGTATGGGGAACGACTCCACCATGCGGCTTGCATTGTATCGTAATATGCCACTTTATTTAGGCACCCACTTAAATGAATCATGATAATTCGATTCACTCCACACAACTCGCAAATGAAGAGCTAATGATAGCAAGCAACCGTGATAGGCAAAATGAAGGTTGGCTTTACTTAAAGTAAAAATTATCTCTACTTTTTAATGCTAATTGCGATTGCAATTTCAAACTTTACCTTAATTTTTACCTGGTGAGGCAAATACAATTTATCGACTTTTGGCTAGGTTTTTATTTGAAGTTTACGATTGTCGATCAATAAGCTTCACTGTTATTAGCCCTCCATATAGGTGCACATTACGGATAGCTATGAAACACCAAAACAGTCCTTTCTATCGTTTCTGTAGGTTGCTATAACATAACCTATTATCTAACAAATATAAGCCGGCACTTACAAATATTATTGTACTGAAAAATACGTAGTGTCCGATATTATTCTAAACGGGTAGTAAAAAATATATGTACAAATCATCAAAGCCGGAATAGTTCTGAAGATTCTGGAAAAACGTTAAAACCTACGAAATTCAGCAATATTTATTCATACTCGCCTCGTAATAATTACTTAAAACGTTAATGGTATGTTTTAGTTGCGTTATGATGTAACAGTCTACGATATTCTACTCACACTAGACACCTAAACATGAACGGAAATATAATCGATACACAAAAACCTAAAAAGTTGTTAAAAAAATAATTTTTAGAGTTCTACTAGTAAGCGTAAATGCATGTGGGTTGCTACTCCATACCAAAATTATTTTCAAAACGAGGATAGTCTTAAGACACGCATAGGTGATGCTTACTCCCTAACAAAAGTAAGACATATCATTTTTTGTTTCTAAATTTCTCGTACATCGTTTAAAGCTTATTGTTACCACAAGCTATTACAAATGTTACATATATTGTTTTCTAAATGGGTATGTTTCGCTTTCTGCCCTGTTTCTTATTTGAATATATAACATTATCTCTTAACTTTAGACATCCACAACAAAACTTTTCTAATCATTTTTAAACTCAGTCCTAAACACACTCGAAACCTCGAGCGAAATGGCAACTCGAACCGTGTGCCTAAAAATGATCCTCAAAATTCCTCCGCTGAGGCGTCCATTTCCAGGACAATCACACCCCAGTGTTGTTGCAAATATAGGATACCGCCATGTTTTCGTTAATAGGTATTTTTCTAGTCGAAGAGTTGTTGTTGTAAAAGTGCGACGACTTTCTCATGCTAGTCGATGACGACATCAAGGCTACGGTTTCGTAGTACCTGAGCCTCCCGCAACACTTCCTGCTTTTGATGATAGCCACGAAGCCTTTCCTAAATTTTTTATTGAAAAACGCGTACAGGATCGGATTTATACAGGAATTCGAAGCTCCCAACCACTGCGCTACTGGAGTAGCTATCGGAAGAATCTCCTCCTCCCACGGTTCGATGTCCCCGCCCAGCTTGATCCTCGCAAAAATGGCGTACAACGGCAACCAAGATATGACGAATAAAATGACGACCGCTACCAGCATTTTGACGACTTTCACTTTCGATTTCTGTTGCAGGCGTTCCATTTGGGCGTCCTTGGTGTCGCTAGGAATGTTTCGTTTCCAGACCTTGATATAAATGAGAACGTAACACATGGTGATGAGTATCATGGGCAGAATATAACAAAATAACAAGTTTGCGGTTAAAAAGTAGAGAGAGCCGCTGAGAGGTTTCGGCCACACTTCCAGACAGAGCTGGACGTCCGGTGCGTCGGTGAAAATAACGACCAAATCGAAGAATAAAGCCCACGGGATTGTGGTTGTTAAAGCGACGCACCAAATGAAGACGATCATGATTCGGGCGCGTCTCTTGGTGATCTGGCATTTGAGGGGCCACCATATCGCCAGGAATCTGAAAAAGAAGTACCGAGTCAGTGAATTTTAATAGTAGACCGAGCAAAATATAATATGAGGAAAGATGCTTCTTGGATCCGAACACTGTTGTGGGTTTATTATCTAGAAAGCAAGAATCTTTACATTTTAATCATGACAAATTAAACAAATAATGGGTGCAGTGCAATGTAGTAAAACTTCATAAAAGGACTACTAGAATTTTTGCATTCGCCAATTTAAAAAACATATTTTTGACCCACTCAAAACCGTTCTCATAAGAATTTCTGAATATACCACCCGCTATAAAGACCAATAAAATGCCCGGGAGAAGAAACTTCCACAGGATACTATTTACAAAGCTTCTTGATTCGTTTTGCATCTGTGGTTGATAAATCGGACTTGTTGAAGTCACGGCATTCATCTTGTTGACTTCTTCAGAGCTTAACTGTAATGGTACCTGCTTATAAATTGAACGGGTAAAAGGTATTACAAATTCATTTAATAATCGGATATTGGATTTCAAGAAAAATGGCAACCAAGATATGATATATTCGAATTCTGTGTTAAATTTGAGGCATAATTCATGTAGCATATATCTTATGAATTAATAACAATTGTTAAAATTATATTTTCGTCGAAAGTGGATATGGCGCATCTAAATGAAATTCAGAGAATTGAATATGGAGACAAAATGAGAACTCATGAAGACGTTTGTCATTTGTATAACTCCAATTATCCAGAGAGACCCATTACAAGATCCACAGTGAGTAAAAACCTCCATTAACTTTTTGAGAATATGCTAATAACTAGCCAACACTAACCAAAACATTACTCAGGATGGTCTTATTTCGTATTTAATTTTAAATCACCTAAATTTTGTAATTTTTCCTGTTATACTTTTGATTCTAAGTATTTCCAGTAATACCTCGAGATATTCACTTACTTTTCGAGCAAAACGTTGCGAAGCACCATCCTGTTGAAAAAAAATCTGTCTATGTTTCGGTAAGAATTTCCGAGAGAAGGAATTTAATAACAATATTTTAAAATAAAGTCCAATAGTCAAAATCCCTGACCAAATATTGATTTATTTTGGCAGTTGTGTATAATTTTCTCTCATTCATAGAGGATTATTTGTAGTCCAATACCTACAATTTTATTTATTTACCGTACCATTTAAACAAAACCTGACTTCATCAATAAACTGTGTTCCTATATATTTTTCTGAATTTTACTCACTGTAGATCAGTGGATATTTTGCGTTACGCAAATTACAAACTTCTCATTGAGTTCTCGAATGCAGAAAACTGCTGGTGTCTCAAGCTAACCAAAACTAACCACACAATCTTGGTCTTTACCTTTCACCAATATTGAAATTAATCATCCGAGATAATGCCCATGCTTCTTCCTTAGCTCCGCCCCCTCAAACAGTAAATAAACAGGTACACAGTAGAATCAATCAACAGTTCTGAAGAAGCCAACAGAATCATCAAGTACGATTTATCAACAACCTACGTCTTTCTCTTAAAGAAAAAAAAATGGATGTAATCAACGTAAGTAAATAAAATGAACAATGTATTCATTGTTCATATTTCGAAAATCTTCATTCAACCAGAAGTTATATTTACCAAAAAAAAAATGTCTGGCGACGTCCATATTTCTATCCTAATTAAGGATAGGTTCAGTTTTTGTTATTTTTCGGCAATAGCCACTGCTCAAAAAGTTCATTTTTGTACATCTTAATATCTACTTATCAGTTCGCTGAATTACCATTCTATACGAACTCCACAAATGTAACAATTTTTTACGAAATACAACTTTTGAAAACTGCACCGTAATTTCCAAAACTATAACTCAGTATCAAACCATGATTGTCCGTTCATATTTGATCATGCTCTACTAGTTTTATTTATGTTACTGTTTTCGCAAGTTCATGATTAGATATGTATCCATAAAAATAATTTCTAATGTAAACAATAGTTACTCTAATCTAACTCGTGAGTGACTTGTGACTGTGAATAGTGTGCTAGTTTTGTCTTTCCTAACAGTTTATCAGATACTTATGGCAACAGTCATAGTCATATTTTGGTTGAGAAGCGACTATGAAAATAGGTTCCCTGCTATTCCCTATTCGGTCTATTCGTTTTCTATCTCAATGTCCATCACACATGATATGATCCAGGATCCAGTGTTTTCTAAACATTTTGCCACAAGTATCCTGATATACCCTATTGAGTATGCATTGAAAATATCAGAATGGTCATGACTAATTTATCAAATTATAATTGATATCACATTCCTCAACCAAGCAAGTCGCAAGTATCTTACTTTGAATTGCATAAAGGCAAACCAAAACCAAAATGTTTGAGAAATTGTGAGGAGAACGGAATTATATATCGGGAAAGCATCACTGATGATCTTACAAGGAGAGGGACAAACAGTACGTTTCGTAGGTTTGATGGAGTTAACGCTGGGAATATCTAATTACTTTGTGTTTTAAAATAAAAAACAATTGCACATGGTTCGCATTTTGTTTCTAATTTTATAGGAGGATGAGTATTATACTTAAGTAGTAATTATGCAGAACTAGTTCTTCACAGAAAATTGCAAAATTATGTAAAAATTAAAATGCAATAGCATGACTTTTTCTTCAATAAAAATAGGCTAGTGAAAACCGCATGTTGATCTTATTACTAACCTAAAATATCGTAGTGAGAAAATTTATTTACCCTAAAAATTTTATAAAGTTTTATTTATTTGTCTATTTTCACGATAAAAGTATTCTTAATTTATAAAATTTAAATAAAACTAATGCTTCCTTAAATGTTCGAACTGTCATCTATCACACTCGATGCATTGATGAAGCCGCTCATGCGTGGATATTATAGCGTCTTCAATTTCTGCTGCTGGCAGGGTACAAATGGCCTCTTGTATTCGTATTGTCATGTCGTCTCTCGTCCTTGGTGGAATTTTGTAAACAATATCTTTTAACCGACCCTACAGAGAGAAGTCCAAACAAGTGAGGTCTGGGGAATAGGGTGACCAAGAAAATAGACTCCAAAACGGACATCACTTATAAAAGTGGTCTCATCTGTCCAAAAAATTTCGGATATTTTCCCTAACCATGCGTAACCATACGTACATGATATACCCAACGCGAGCGACCTTGTTCTCGTACTAACTATATTGAGTTCCGTTGGTCCAGCCGATCATCTTCGCAATTGAGGTCGAAAGCTTCCAAAGTTACGTAAATTTTGCACTAAACGAGGAAAACTTTTAGCATTGTAGACTTTTTGAGCTAATGCCGCAATTGAAGACATTCAAAATATATCCCACTCATCATATATAAAAGGCATTTTATTAGTTTTAAGGTTTTACTTATGTGCAGAACAAACACAAATTACACAGCCTCTATAATAAATATATTGTCAACACAAACTTTGTCGAAAAGTTGATTTTAGGTATTTGTTGTTCATCCTTTGCCTACTTTTCATATTCTTGCATATTATAATATCAATTGAATATTGTGGCCCTACGTGTATTTCTTTGTTGAACTAATTCAAAAATTCAAAATTAATAATTTTTGAATTTTTATGAATGGATTTTGAAAAAAGAAACAAATAAATGGGAAAAGTTGTGAGTGTAATATCGATTTTTAAAAAATTTCTGATATTTAAATTTTCTTTATTTCCTTTAAATTTTTCGCGAATTTTGCTATTTTCTGTTAATATATCAAGAAAAGCGCTCCAGCGGGATCATTAAGAACTAGACATATTACTGGGAAGACGATAGAGAAATTATAATATATTATGCAACAAGTGTAGTAAATGGTATTTGAGCGAAATCGACAAACATACTCGTTAGGGTGGGAAAAAAAACGATTTTTTTGGTTCTGACACACAAAAGCTTGTTGCTAGTTATCTCTAAAAAGTACTTACATATACATATACTTACATATATAAATAATCATATAGATCCAACCAATAGATCATTAAGCCAATTTAATTGGTAATTTATCACTGTTTGCTGATACTGTTTCACTCGATATAAAAAAGAAACTGTAAAAACTCGAGATGGTATACATTCTAGGGTTACAAAAATTGAAATCGATCAAAAGAAGATCAATTATTAGATTATTCAAAAAATCACTGAATTTGTTCAAAATCTTTGACCTACCATATGATTTCCTTTATGTTGACATTGCTTTGTGGGCTTCAGATGAGAGTTATAAGGAAAGTGAAGGGTATTTCAAACAAATGAAAGTCGTAAATGACGCAGCAGAACAATTTTACACGTGCTGTAATAAAGTCAATTCAAATAACGAAATCTAAAAAATTTATATTTTTTTAGTAATACTGTGTTAAGGTATAAATTTTCATATGGTGGTATAGAATTTGTTATTGTTTTGAGGGTTATGGTTTAGCAATTTTCACTAACACAATTTTTCGGTAAAATAAAACATCGGAAGATGACTAACACTGCATTTTGTAAAAGAAACAAATTATCCCGACATTCTTAGTACCGACAAAAGTTCTTTTCGCTTATGTGTGCGACTTGGAGACCGACTGACTCTCGTCTGCCTAGAAGCAAAGGCACCCTGCGCAGAACGTTATTACAAGTTACAAGCATGCGCACTAACTGAAAACTATGTCATTAAGCAAAAGTATTTAACAGAATTCTTTTTCTATCAATGCATTTATTGATATTTCTTGAATAAAGAACTTTTTTTTCGGAAATAGATAATAAATAATCTCAAAATTTACTAACTTAATGAATAAATTGAAAATATTTATTCAAAACTGTGTACTGTGTACCATTGGGATTCAGATTCAGGGATTTGCAGATGATTATTAAAAATATCCTGAACGTCACATAAAATCAACGCAGAGGTTGGATTAGCAAAACAGAGAAGTTATTAATAGAAAGAAAGATAGCATAAAATCGCGACATCAGTCGAAAAAGATAATCTTGGCTGGAAAATATCAGAGACTGGACAAATCCGGACGCCCACTCGATATTGCG